GAGGTTTGGTGTAAAACATGGGAAAATTAATCACACAATTTCTGGGTTTATATGAAAATCCCGAAATGCCATAATCTTAAAATTTAACTTATATAATTGCAAAACAAAGTAAGTCACAAAAATTGGCTCGATTTATAAGTAAAATGTCAAGAAACTTTAACATCTGACCATTTTTCATCAGTCGTTTTGATTTTCTGCATATTTTACTCCTGATTTCATATCTTCTAAAGATTCGCATTTGTGAGAACACAGATAATCAAACTAACAGATTTTTTCAGCCTGTGTATCAACAATTTCGTAAATAAATAAATAACGTCATTATGGTTTTTATTTATTTAGAGGTTTTTTGGCACTGTGAGGCAAAGTGGAGGTTCCAATGACCATCCTACTCCGACGTTTCTCCAGGTATATAAAACCAAGCTATCGATTAAGCGCAGTCTCAAGTTCGTCGGATCAGCCGTTGTTGAGATCCGAAATTCCGAGGGCCCGTCAACTCGCGCACTCGCGTAAACTACACGGTCAGTCTCGCGCGCGCGGTTCTAGCTTGTCACTTTAACTTTTTTGCTTATACTTGGCGCGAGACACTACCGTGTCTCGTGATCCTTAGTACCTTCGGCATTTTGAAGCCACCGAAATCAGGAAACTGTACCATTGAAAAAGATCAGTCAAATGGGCTAGTCCTTTCATTACAAGAGATAAAATCAATTTATCAAAATCCCAAAAGCTGTACTTCAATTGTTGATAAAATCAAAAATGTATTAAACACAATTGTACAAACTGGGATTTCGATGATTTTTTGCTCATGATCACAGTTATAACAGGCCAGAGATACTTGACTGCATAATTTATTATTCTGCTAGCTATTTAACACAATACATGCTCAAATCAAAATATGCTGAATGTGATAAGTGTAAAGTCGTTTTTAATAATAGACATTCCATGGATACTAGCCCAAATGACTGTCCTACCAAGATTTCTTCCAAAAACATTTTACAAGGACCACTAACACATCCAAATACATATTTGGTTCAAATACTTAGATCTGTAGAAGAAAAATTTACCGCCCACCGTGATTCGCCAAACATTTTTGATTTAATATTAAACGATATAGTTGAAAAATCTTTCCCGTTCCCGTGCGCTAGTCATGCGGAAGAAGTTCTTTCGCAAATAATACATTATTATCTAACCACACGTATGCGTCAATATGCGCAACAACTTAACAATAACAGAGAAAAATGTTACCAACAAAAAAATAAAAATTCAAAATTTACAAAGTCATAGAATTCATTTTTGTTTACCGCCATTTATTTAATTCAAGAAATAATTATTTGGATTAAATAAATAAATGTTTACTTTAAACAAATATTTTGTTAACATTATTTTTAGTAATTTTTTAAATCTTTAAATATATTATATTTTAATAATAAAAAATGTTAATTAAAAACATTTATATACATATACACTACTCAAAAAAAAATAGGGAACACTTTTCATACCCTAAAAATTGGGCTATTTCCAAAACATTGAAACTCAGCAAAAAATCATCGTAGACTCAAAACTAAAAAAGCATTTTAAAGCTTGAAGTTTCAACTTTAAAACCCTGTCAATGATTTATTTAAGTATGTTCATCTTCCTCGTTGTGTGCTTTAAAACAGAATACCTTGTTTTGTTCCTTAAAATTACGTATATTTGACACATTGCAGCTCGATAAAAAAAATTCTCTCGACAAATTCGATACAAGTTCCACAATCTACAACATTTTACCTACAAAATGCTTTTTTTAAATTTTCCTACGATTTTTTTTGACCGAGTTACATAACTTTAAAGTGAACCATGTATTTTCTTGAAAAATGATGTTTACCGCCGGCATTAGCGTTACCCAACGCTGTGCACTACGTGGAGGTTGCCGGTCGGATTTTGTACATCGTGTGTGTGTGTATATGTGTGTGTGCGTGTGCGAGTGCGTGTGTGTGTGCGTGCGAGCGTTTAGTATTGTGTATTATCTTCTCTCTGATGAATTACCGCTTCTAAACCCTCTTGCATGTTAATGCATCTCTCGATTAAGTTTTGCGGAATTTTATACTTGATATGAAGAAATTCCACAAAACTTGATCGAGAGATGCATCAACATGCTAGAGGGTTTATAAGCGGTAATTCATCAGAGAGAAGGTAATACACACTAAACGCTCGCACGTACACACACGTACTCGCACACGCACACGCACTCGCGCACGCACACGCACACGCACACACACACATATACCCACACACACACGATGTACAAAATCCGACCGGCAACCTCCACGTAGTGCACATTGGGTAACGCTAATGCCGGCGGTAAACATCATTTTTCAAGAAAATACATGGTTCACTTTAAAGTCATGTAACTCGGTCAAAAAAAAATCGTAGGAAAATTAAAAAAAGCATTTTGTAGGTAAAATGTTGTAGATTGTGGAACTTGTATCGAATTTGTCGAGAGAATTTTTTTTATCGAGCTGCAATGTGTCAAATATACGTAATTTTAAGGAACAAAACAAGGTATTCTGTTTTAAAGCACACAACGAGGAAGATGAACATACTTAAATAAATCATTGACAGGGTTTTAAAGTTGAAACTTCAAGCTGTAAAATGCTTTTTTAGTTTTGAGTCTACGATGATTTTTCGCTGAGTTTCAATGGTTTGAAAATTGCCCAATTTTTAGGGTATGAAAAGTGTTCCCTTTTTTTTTAGTAGTGTATATCATATTATATTTACAAACATGCATGTGTTAATTATTTTTTAATATATACTTCCTACTCCCTACTCCTCTTCCTATCCTTTTTTCTCATTTTTACGTAGCTTATTTAATTTTACACATTGCAATTTAATAATGCACACATACAGGGTGTCCCAGACCACCCTTATCAGCCAAATATCTCGAAATCCGAGAACGACAGACAAAAACGTTTCAGACAAAAGTTGTATGGTTTCGAGAGGGCCATAAGATGGTACCATTGGTTTGACCTTGAAGAATTATTTGAAGGTCACATAAAGGTCACACCAATTTTTTGAATGGCATCCTCTATGTCTTATTACATATTCTTGTAGCTGACCTCGAGAGCTTTCCAAGACGCTATAATAAAGTATTTTTTTAGTTATTAAGGTTTAAAAAAGAACTTTTTGAGTTATTAAGGTTTGAAAGTTCCAATATTTTGACATAAATTACAAAATATCTTGTAAAATATTCATTTTTTTATCATCTTACCGTAATACTTTTTTGAACAGAATAATGAGACAAATCAACCGGTGTAAAGAAAACAATTTTGTAACAAGTAATAAAAAAATTCTTTTTAACAATTGTGTGTTTTCTTTACACCGGTTGATTTGTCTCATTATTCTGTTCAAAAGAGTATTAAAGTAAGATGACAAAAAATGAATATTTTACAAGATATTTTGTAATTTATGTCAAAATATTGGAACTTTCAAACCTTAATAACTCAAAAAGTTCTTAATAAAAATACTTTATTATAGCGTTTTGGAAAGCTCTCAGGATCAGCTACAAAAATATATGTAATAAAAAATAAGGGACGCTATTTTAAAAAATTGGTGTGACCTTTATGTGACCTTCAAATAATTCTTCAAGGTCAAACCAATGGTACCATCTTATGGCCCCCTCGAAACCAAACAACTTTTGTATAAAACTTTTTTTATAATTTCGCTTACCGGTCGAGTTATTCTCCATTAAAGGTTAAAGTGGTCCACCCTGTATATCATAACATATGTACGAGTATGTTGACTTGTTGGCAGCGCCACGCGGATAATACGTAGTCAGCTGAACTACAGGAGTGTCAGGGGGCTGGCTCCAGCGACTAATACTAGGCGAGAACGTTTGCCACATCGCTACAGCGATGGTGGGGTTAGGAGTGGGGATGGCTCTCATGCCGCACACAAGCTAGGCTGCGTTCAAAAACACCACCCGAATACCTCAGAGTATCATTTTATCCTTGTTTAACATACGGTGAGCAACAAGGATAGAATAATACGCTGGGGTACTCGGGTGGTGTTTCTGAACGCAGCCCTTCGTGCCGTATACATAGACATAGTATATGTGTGCGTACATATGCAGTACGTAGCATGTATGCGGTATAGGGGCCATCCCCACTCCTACCCCCACCACCGCTGTAGCGATGTGGCAAACGTTCTCGCCTGGCATCAGTGGCTCCAACCAGCGAGGAAATCGCCGCGATGCGTGTCCGAGAGGTGCGCGCGTACCAGCACTTTCATTGTTCTTCGATGTCTCGGCGCGAAGAGACGCGAGCGATCTCGTGTGCGTTACCACGGCCGCCAGTTTGACGTACACACACACGCACGCACGCACGCACCTGTCGCCGTCGGGAGACGAGAGCTCCGCTCCGAGTACTTCGCGAAGTAAGTGTGCGAATCTCTTCTCCAGAATTAAATTATATTCCAGCGAGTGGCAAAATTCAAAAACGTCCTGCAGCGAAAGCCGCAACTTTTCGTCGCTGTGGCAATCAGAGCGACAAAAATGTTTCGGGGGGGGGGGGGGGGGGGATCTCTCGATTGAGCGAGATACGCACTTTCAGCTCTTGAAATTTTAGTTTCAGATTTGATTTCAACGTCCGCCTCGCCTTTCTGCACTTTTGAAAAAAAAGGCGAGCACAAATTTGTTGTCCCGACGCACTTAAATTTGCGTTTACTCGAGTTTTTCGACACTCCCGTCCCCTCCCCTTCATCTTTCTGCGCTCTTAAAAGAATGTTAACAATTTAGTATTGCAATTTATTCAAATGAGTTGTGTGATACCAAGATTTACTAGGAGACTTAATTCGCGAGTAATTGTGTCAAGAGGAGATGTAACGAGCGATTTGGTCCATCTTTTGTCGAGCTTATACTTCGATTTAAAAAGTATACACGTGTAGATAAAAAAAACGTATTTTCTTCCCGTGAAGAAACACGTGGACTTGATAAAGGAGTCTTGTCATGTCTGCGAGTTTACTTGCATTTTGGGCACGCGAGAACGAAAGTTTCCGGCAAGTGGCACGATATATATTGCATCGTTAAGGAATAGAGAAAAGTCCCCTAGTATGAGACAGGATTCTAACATGGAATAGCGGGGTTTCTGTTAAATTAATAGGCATCCTCTGTTGATTCCACCATGAATTTATTGCCCTTGGAGCGAAATTTATTTCGTGGAAAATTCATTGTCGGAGTGTGTAATCGTTGCGAAAAAAGATTTGTGATTGAAGCTGGGTGTTGAAAACTTGCTATCTCTCACCTTAGAAGCCAATCTCATAATGGAGGACTTTGCGAACCGCATAAAATCCCGTGTTTACTTTAGGCTCATCGCGGTGTTTTTGGATAGTAACGTAATGGGAAGTTAGGGAGGCGAATTGGCCAATCGCCGCGCAAATATCAGCTTTGAACGCGGCCAAAATGATTAACGGAGCGCGCGAGAGCGGCGGCGGGATGAATGGAGTCGGATTCTACATTAGCATACAAGGGCGAACAATGCAATTTCGCCATAGTAACATCGTGGAGTCTCGTAACCTAATTCGCCTGTGCGGCTTGTAAACAGTGCCAGCAATATAATGCATGGCGTCCAATTGCGACGATACGAGATGTTAGCCAATTAAAAATTAGACACTTTTATCCCGCGTGTCCTTTTCCTGGATTTTTAATTCAGCGTAGCTCTCGATTATAAGTAAAAACTCTGTTAAAGTAGAGAGAGGGGGGGGGAGACTTTCTCTGTCGGATTAAAAGTATTCCTATTAATTAAACGTCGATTTAATTATTCCGCTTTTCCAAAGAACCGATTGTGCCGAAGATGACGTTAACCAGATTCATATCGCCTCGTCGCGTGCTACACAATTAACGTTAATGAGCCACCCAAAAGATCATACTTCCTAGTTTCACACAATTCGATTGTTGTTGGCGACAGGCGGAATGGAGACGCTTTCATGCTCTGTTTCGGCGCCTCGAGTTCACCGAGTTTCTACAGGATATGCCTTGGGAGATGCTTTAATGGCGGGACATAGGTGAACGCACGTAAACACTCGTCGTTGTACGAATGAAAATACAGAGAAATTCAATTAATGTGTCGTTAGTTACGAGTAGCGACGTGGGATTAAGTATCTTACAAGCAAATTCGAATGTACTGGCGTAGCTTCGAATTCTCTATTTCGAAAAATCAAAGCAGCACTTTCAAGCAGACCTGAATCTGGATGAAGTGGATCCTCCGTGAATACATAGAGAAAAATATCACTCCCAAGACTTGAACCTGGATCAAATAAATTCGAATCTTTTATAAGTACTTTACTCTAGAAATTTTGCTTCGAAGCAAAACGTTTGTATAAAGCGACAATTCAATCGATATATTTTTTTTCGATTATAAATGATAAATTAGAGATTACCGATTATTGAAATAAAGTGTAATGATCGTATGGTTAAAAACATAGAATTAAAGTTGTCGAAAGTTTACACGTTGCCTTCTTTAAACTAACAAAATGTCATTCTTAGAGTTCGAGTCCTGTTTGTAAAAGATTCGATTCCTTATACTAGAAACTACGTACATTTCGAGCTTTACTCATTCTAAAATTCGAAAATAACTATAATTGGGATCGATTATTTCGCGTTACTTTACAATGTACGAAATATTATTTTGCACAAAAAACTATTGCTCGCATCCTAGAAAATAAAACTTGATTACTGGATCTGACTTGGGTTTTTAAGTGCATATTGAACTTGATTCTTAATTAAAAAGCACAGCGTTCTTTCGTGTCATTTTGTCGCTAGCGAACGATTGCGAAAAATTAGAAACCTGCTTTTAATTGGACTCGGCGCTAACTGTAATTCGGCAAATTTTCTTTTTTTTACACATATAACGGGTGGAACCGTAACGTTCGTGATCGCAGGTGATGCAGTTCAGACAGCCGGCAATCTGGTTATTGAAGCTCTTGTCGATCGGCCTCGCGTATACCGGTATCAGCGATTGGGATGCGTGCAGCGGACGTTTGGAGCGCGCTTTGGACGCACTACACAGGGATTCCACCAGAAGAACCAAGTTGGACGAGGAAGAGGCCGGAGCGTTGTATCAGCGCGAACTACAATCCGCCCCCCTGGAAATGTCCGTCTCCCGTATGGCCGTGAAGGTGATATTCTCTCCAAGCGCTAATATTCCATGTAGAATAAGTTAATCACGGAAACGTCAATGTGACATTAAAATGATGAATTTTACTTCATGAAATGATCGACATCAAGATTCACTTTGCAATAACTGATTTATGACATGCTGTTTTATGATATTCGTGACGTGTATAATAATATATTATTACAAATTACATGATCAGTCATATATGTTTATCTTATATTACTTCAAATTATTTTTTATGTATAATATTTAATTAACTTTGCTTTGTAAAACAAGATCATTTTTACAACATTTTGATGATGTCACAAATAGGCCCATACGGCACACAAATGCTGAATCAACATCTCAGAAACGTTCCATTACAACATTGCAATATTGCATCAATGTTACGAAATGTAGATTCAACGTTGAAAAGATATTGCAAAAACGTTTAATGTCCGCTGAATTGTAATGTCATGTAAATGTTACAATTCAACATTCAGAAAACATTATTAAATTATTCGCTTCGTGCGATGATATACTATAGCGGAAAAGTAGGACTTAGGGCGCTCATGGTGGCCGAAGTTTGCATTATTTGCTGGAGTGACAATTATCGAAAAATGGAAAAATTGCGAAAGGGAAATTTCAATTGTTGCGTGTATTCATGTAAAAATGTATTTCACAGATTTAAGATGTCTTTAAGACGACATAACGTTGTCTGGGACTTTACTTAAATTTTATTTAATACTTACATGCAATTGTACCTTGTACACAATTCTTCAACGCGAACTACATGCGATATTGCTAAGGCTTTTCCTTTCGGTATTGCACTCGGACTAAATTTAATGTCATGAGTAATGGGTCCAAATCCCGTTCGTATGATAAGGCTCATTGCAAAAGTTAGAGAAGTTAACTTACACGTATAATGAAAAATCTATAGCAAATGTTTTGTAATATAACGAAAATTTTTTCATCGAAATTATAAAGAGACCTAAAATTATCAAGATACCTCACGACAGTTTACGTAACTTGAATATTAGTAATCATTGACAGCTATTCCAGCAAAATATGCGACATTTCACCAACCACGGCAGCACTAGTCTCTACGCACAGTCGCACACAGCGAATATCGAGCTAATGGTCGCGTTCAGCAGAATATTTTTTACAACGGTTAGAAGTGCTGAAATTGAATTACTCCACTAAAATAATAATTAAATCTTAGCTCAGAAAATTTTTGACCGTTGCAAAAATATTATATATATATATACATTTCATAATTATACCTTTTTTAAGTATCTATTTAGGTGTCAAAAAATAATAATTTGTTCAAGATTGTTTTAAGTTGCAGCAACATAAAGAATCAATGTACAAACATTAACCTAGATTCAACGTAGAAAAGATATATATACTTCAACATTCAACATTGCGACGTTTCAGCAACATTATCTTAACTTTCTGTGCTGTACGGGAGGTACTCTCGATGGGCTATTTTGACGTCAGCATGATGCATAAAAAAATGATTAAAAAATGATGTCATCTTGATGTTTTAGTGACTAATATACTTATTCTACTTGGGATTTCTCCCCTCCTTTTGAGATTTGAATGTTATCTCGAACATTCTTCTTTTTTTTAATTGTTCACCAAGAATTCAAATTGATTCGAAAATTATTCGAAATCCTTAAAAGTAATTTTGAAAACAGAGTAATATTGTTTGACCAGAACTGGCAATAATTGAATTAGAAGAAGTTTATTGCGAAAGATATTAGCCCATAGCGTGGTATCTTGTTTTGAAAGATATAGTCACAAATACTATCTAAGATACTATCTGTATTTGTGTCTTTCTCCAGTAAAACACTTCAATGCATCTTGTATCTATATCTAAATCGAGGTAATTCAAGAAGTGTAACTTATATCTGTATCTTTGATGAAAAAAGTCAAAATACCAAACTCTGCCTCAGCCAGGGTCTGAACCTGGACCTCTCTCGCTCTAGGCAGGCGTCACACCTTCGACCACTGAGGCATGTGGCAATATTTATCGCAACAAGTAGTCCAATTCTAATTTTGAAAAGTCTTGACAATGTTGAATGTCGCGACTTTCAAGAGTCTCAAATGTTTAGAGAATCCTTCTCCGAAAGTGTGATTGTCTTAAACGATTAAACCTAAAAAAGAAAATAAAAATGAAATTGTTATCCACGTCTGTGTGCAAAGTAAGGAAATTGAGATAATGAGGTGCGTAAAATAATTAAATACTATGAAAGGAAGAATAATTTCGAAATATTTATCGATCTGGACCGTAGCTTCCGGAAAACGCGAAGGAGCCCGGAGGTCAGTGGGCGCGAGTGGAGCAATGCGTGTACGATCCCGATCGCAATTCTCTGAAGACGCGCGTCGTGTTCAACGACCTGTCGGTGTCGGGGATGGTGTCCCTGATACCGCGGGACCGCCGCGCCCTGATCGCCGCCGAATCCTGCAGAATGACCTTGCGACTGAGGCGCGCGGGGATAGACTTCGTCACCAGCCCGATCGCCCGCGGACGCGGCCAGATGCGCATACGCACGGAGTCCAGCTTCCTGGAGCCCAGGTTCGCGTCGATCTACGCGTACGGCTGCCGTTCCACGCGCATCGACAAGCAGATCAAACGGCAGGATAAATGGCCGCCGTATCATTCAGCCAGCGTCAACAAGGTCGGCTAAATGATTGAAAAGATTATCCTTTCCGAGAGGATGATAATAAAGAGAGACGCCGCACGCATCTATCGGAAGACATATTGTAAACAAATTTCGCCTCACCGCTATTACTGTCTTGATAATTTAATAAAGCGAGAGATCATTTCTTTAGCGAAATTTGAGGAATATTCCCGTTATCTTATTGCTCAGATCTTTATATTTAAACTCGGTATAGTAATATTTGCTTTTAGTATAGCATCTATTTGCTTTTACTCTCTAAAAGTCAATCAGTGACTATTCACTGTTTTCAGTGATAATTCACTGATTGACTTTCGGAGAGTGAACGTAAATAGTAGATATTACTATACCGAGTTTAAACATAAAGATTGGAGCAGTAAAATAACGCAGAGAGCGGGTCGTTTCACCGAAATATTTTAACATTCCGTCTGTATATTCAATCTCAAACTTTTGGCCAGCTGTGTATTAACTTTGTCATTTGTCGCAGGTGACACCGACGCTGTCGTTGCCTCTGAACGACAAGTACGACGCGGCGGAGCCGAGACAATTGGCGGGCAGCGCCGAGGAGATGGACATCGTCATACCGAACGAGAGTCGGCATCCGCGCTACTCGCACGCCCCGGAGACCAACTTCGGTGTGTGGCGGAAGAACTCCTGGATCACTAAATCCTCGCCGCGCCGGAGGCGCTCGATGGTCATCACGCCGCGGGACTTCGCGAACGCTCTGATAAGCGGGCGCAAGTCGCCGGGGAGGCCCGCGAACTTCACCACAATTGTCAATCTGACCGACAGCTCCCTGCGGGACGAGGATCCACCGCAAAATGGGACGCGGGAGGTGAGGGAGCTCACGGTGGACGACAATCTCTTCCCTATAGACTCGGAGGATCCGAACAGGAGTTGGCAGTCGAAGGAGTACATCACGAGGGAGATGGAAGACGTCTTCTTGCAGGGCGCGAGCCAAGCGCTCACGAGATACATCGAACGCCAACTGCATCCGGCGATCAAGGAGACGCTGATGCTGTCTATGGGCTACACTATCAGTTACGGATAAAAGTAGCGAAGGAGAATATATTTGGGATCAATATTTCATAATTGTGTATATTTCAAGTATTAGATACGTCAGTCGCTACGAAAACGTTAATAAAAATCGCCTTCGCTCCTTCTCACGACTGATGGTCGCGACAATTGCCTGGGCCCTAGGAGTTTCTTGAGATTGCGCAACGATTCGCATATTGTGTCGATTAAAATTCTTACTTGCCTCGTTTCATTTATAGCTCCGTAATGATCTTGTCTCTCATTACTTCAATTTTCGCATTGCGACGTAAATCATTTTTAATTAGTTACGTACTGAGCTTGGGAATGTAAAGGCGCTCCATTCATTTTGTAATCGTACATTCTTGATGATAGTCGCGATAAATATGTAACGTTGCGAAATATTCATATATAAGGAACATTGAGAAAACATTTGATGTACTAATTGTGCAATTGCATATTATAAGCGTATATACATATACATATATAAAAGAATATACAAGGAATATCTGTGTGCAATTATATATTTGTTTCTTTTCTTCATACATATGGTAGAAACAAAGAATTATGGCTAACATTATTGTGACAATATGTTACCGTCCAGTTTCTAATTAATATTTATAAATAGAATTTAAATTATATTAACAAACACATATTTAGACATAAAATAATAATTAGCGCGTACGAATAAGAATGAACCTATTTATTTTAAAGCTGTCTTTAATGATAAGTAAAAAAGCGCAGAGAGACACCTTATCTAAGAGTGTATTAAAGTAAGATACTAAATTGTAAGAAATTTAATGACAATCGGAATTAAAAACACGTTTAATTCCAATCCAAAGTGCACGTGAGTTATAGAGCTGGAAGCATTCTGTCCAAAAGAAATAATTATACGGGTAAAAATAAATGGGATTTTTTCGAAACACAAAATGATATCTTTCGTGCTTGATCTGAGTGACTTAAGCCACTTAAGGTGATTCTGCACCTTTTGCTTCTAGAACTGTTAATTCGTGAAAACATTTGTGTAATATACAAATTATGTGTCTTTTGCGTACAGACCGACAGTGTTCCACTAATCGGACTAATACCCGTTTCGACCAACGCAGTTTAACTTTAATCTTGGTTCAACTTACGCAGTTACGCAGTTTAACTTCAATCTTGGTTCAACTTTGTATCTTTTTCTAAATTTCATAAGATTCAACGACCTACACTGGCCAATGTTTTTGTTCAAAAACCGATTACAACGTTTCGGCCCCGGGTTTGGGCTCTTTTCAAATAATCTGAAATCGCAAATTGCAAATTTGTATAACAATCTTCTTCGTTTCGATAGGTATTTATAATTTCAGTGTACATGATATGTTTAATCTTATTTATTTATTAGTCTAACGCGACCTCTCGTCAAAACAAGTCGGTTCCTGACAATTATCAAATCAGTTCTAATCCCGGACATGATTGCGCGAGCATCGTGGTACTTTAATCGAATTTACCTTTCTTCTAACAAAGAATTGGAAATTTACTTGACCAATATGTAAGTTTCATTGAACACGGTAATTGTTTGTGTTACATTAATGACTCTCTCAATTGTCTTTACTCAGTTCGTCACAGTGGAATGGTATTGGCCAAATGATTGACTAATGACACAGTAATTATCACTAAGGTATGAATTTTAGAGTTGTTTTATGATAGGCCTTCAGCATTGTTATACAAATTTGCAATTTGCGATTTCAGATCACTTGAAAAGGGCCCAAACCCGGGGCCGAAACGTTGTAATCGGTTTTTGAATAAAAACATTGGCCAGTGTTAAGGTCGTTGAATCTTATGAAATTTGGTTTTAAATTACTGGCGATATATATAATTACACTTTCATCTTTTTCTAATTTTACGAATTGTAAAAAGACAAGAAGTAATTTAAGCCGAGATTAAAGTTAATCTGCATTGGTAGAAACGGGCATAAATCGGAGAACAGTATGGTATCATTGAAATTAAGTTTCGAAACCTAACAGAATATCAGCATACATTGTTATTTCAATTTCAATTATACCATGCTGTTCTCTGATTTAGTCCGATTAGTGGAACACTGTCGGTCTGTACACAAAATTTAAACCACACAATTTGTATATTATATATAAATGTTTTCATGAGTTCTAATTGTAAGAGCAAAAGGTGCAGAATCACTCCAACATCCCCTTAAGAGATTCATGGTTAAAATTTACTGGAAATTATTGTGCCTGTTAGGATTTAAAGTTAAAGGTACACTTGAATTTCTTTCTTTTTTTTCATGCGATAATACAATGCCCGCTCCAGCGGAAGTCCAATTAGTCTGCGGTCTTCCGCGGCGTGTTATTCTCATTCATCATTAGATGCGTCGCGTAAATTAAATAGATAAATATATCACTTCCTAGAGATCTATTCACATATATTAATTTGTAATATCTTTAATATCTTTATGTACTTTACGCATCGCAAGACACAATACGGTGCTACCTGACGCACTGCGTGCACATTCGTTTCCGCAGTGACTGCCGCATCAGTCTGCTTTCGTTGCAAATTAGATATCAAACGAAGATAGAGCGATGCATCTGCGACTCTCACTGTGTAAACGAATGCACACTTCGGCTGTGTTTCCCTACCTTTCTTTTTTTCTCACCGCATTGGACGAATTTCTCCTTGCGTTCCGCGCGAGACGAAAGTATTTTACAGAGTTCACTGAACGCAGTCCAACAACAAGAGCGCAAAGCGCATGTCAAACAAATTAGATCCGTCGGCGGGCCTCGCCTAGTTACTGCGAACATTTATAAGCGATTCTAGCCCTCCTGATTCCGGATTAATGAGAGAGAAAACGCAAGCGGAAGATGAGCTTCTCCGAGATGCGCGGGGTCGGACGGAGGATCCAGCCGTCAGCGGCGCGCAAGAAATCGCGCGTGACGCTTCGGACCGGGTTGGCCTTCAACACCAACGCTTATCAAAACCTTTCAAGGATACCGTGAGAAGCGAACTTTCTTATCCTCTTAATGCCCCGCGCCTCTCTCAAGCCTACTCGGCTTGAAGTAAAGCGTATATTCCGGGCGGAGCGCAAATCAAAATCGTTATCACACTTTGGCAATGTCCTAGAAGGCGGCATTACTGGACCAGCGGTCACGAACACCTGGGCGAGGCTGGAAACGTGAGGGATGAACAATCGCCCTTTGCCTTTCCCTCCTGCTCCCAGACCCTGGCCTATCTTCAATGGTGGAAGGCGCAGAAGAAGAAAGCGATATCCGAACGCGGTAGAAGAGTCAGGGATCGACACAGAATCCCGCAGTCCCGCGATATTTTGCAAAGATTACGCGTGAGTCACGATCTCGCATGAAAGTTGTTCTTGAGATCTGCGATGGGTATCGTTCGCACTGCAAAATAACCTTGCGTAATCCAATTTATTAAGTGCTCAGAACGCGTCGATACGGGCGAAAAGGATTCCAGTATATCCCCAGACAGCACACATAGTTCTATGAATATTCTACTGGAGTGCAAATATTCTTAATTTCAGAATATTCCAGTCGAATATTCTGTAAATATATACAGATTATTACGATTAGAAATCGTATATTCATAAGAAAGAAGAATAGAATATTTTAATAGAATATTTAGAACGTTTCATCGAGAATGTCTTTGGAATATTCGTTCAGAATAATGTTTTAATATTTATTGAGTTTATGTATTGCACATAGTTTCCCATACAGCACAGATGGTTGCAGTTACATTGTAGAAACGTTGCAATCTTGCAGAGACATTGCAGGGATATAAAATTGCAAACTTTCGATAGCAAAAGCTTGCTATGCCTTGAGAAAGGCCCGGATGTATGTGTAATTAGTAAATTCTCTGCTTATATACAACAACAACAAATTATTTCAAAAATATTGCACTGCAACATTGCTATAATGTTGCACTGCAATCTCTCTGAGGGCGGACATTCCAACGTTGCTGCAATCCTCCAGAAACGTTGCAGCAATGTTGCGCAACGTTGCTGCAATATTGCAATCTTGCAATGTAACATTTCTGCAATCTTCCTGCAATCTTTCTGTGCTGTGTGGGTTATTGTGTAATACACTTATGCAAAGGGCAGTGAAACCTGTGATCATACAATATAAGCGACACGCTCCTGTATGCAATCTGCAGTCTTTCTGTCTTCAAAATTTTGTAGCGGGCATTTGAGGAAATCTGTTGCGACAGATTTGGCTGTCTAGGTTGTCGCGATTCTTCAAAAATTCTATACAGGTGGACGTTGAGATAGAAGCGGAGGAGGCAAAGAAACACAAGGATCCGGATAAGGCGGTTGCCATGACGGACGTGGATCCACAGTATTTCATAGAATTGTCCGGCAGACCCGTGAAAGAGAATTTCTCGTTGGAGCAATACGTCCGAGACCTACGAGAGGTACTGAAGACAAAACTCCTCATTGGACAAGAGAAAGACGATTGCATTCGCATCGATCAGCAGTTCGAGCAAGAAACACGCCGGCTACGACAAATTCAGGTATAAGCTTCAACTAATTAAATTAATCTTTTTATGAGAAACGTACATCAAACTTTATATTTTATATGATTCAGAAAAAAACACTATAGATTACATATAATCGCTCTATTTTATGATGCATGTCTGATTAACGTGTGATTCCTTATAGAAATGTAAGCAAAATAATTACTAGAAAATTACTGTAAATCAGTGATTTCTAATAATTCAATTGCTGAACTCTAGTAATTCTTTCTTCTATTAATTTATGAGCTGAGGGAATACACTTCGATATAAAAACTCATATATCTTGCTATTTTGTAAAAGCACCGTTGCCGACGATACGCAAGCGACTTCGAGGAGTTCCTGTCGAAGGATCACGAGGAAAGCATGCGTATGCTGGAGAAGGCGGAACGGGAGGCGAAGCTGACGGAGGAGATCAGCGGCCGGCGAAACGAGCTCGCGAGACAATTCGGCCAGAGCAGGCTGGACGTTTACGTCTGGGAGGAAAACTGGCGGCTGGTGAAGATGTGCCAGATGTTCCTCTATCGGGTGTCGCCCGTCGCCTGGAGGGCCAAGCACGACTGGCTCCAGCGGTCCGAATCGGGCAGGAGCATCATCTTCGCCGACGCTCCGTCGACGGATCTGTTCAGTAGATACAAGACCCTGGACGAGAGCGCGTCCCTGGAGAACTTGATAGGTAACTCGAGGCAGGACTCGCGCCTAGCGCTTGACCAAGTTCCTCTTCTTCCGGATGTACGAACGAACGTCTCGCGTTAGAACTGTTCGAGCAGGACGTCGTCGGCGCCGGCCCGGCCGAATTGTACTTCGAGGATCCGTTCGACCTGATCCGCATCTTCCGGGCGATGGAGACTCAGAATTTAAACGCGCTCATACACCTCGAGTCGCTCGCCGCACCGATGGCGGACATGGCTATGACTATCACCGTCACCGAGGCGCAGATCAAACGAGAGATCGACGAGATCACTTCGACGATCGACGATCTGGAAGTCCGTACCGGTTCAAGTTTACCTGATTTAAGCCAGTCATTAATTAGACATTTGCATACACGCGTTGTATTTTTCATGTTAAAAGAAAAGCAATTCAGCATATAGGTTTCCCACGTACAAAATATTTCAAATAAGTTGTAATGAAATCGGTATCTCTTTTAAAAATGTTATCGTTATCTAAAAAAATATTAAATCCGACGTTAACGATTAGTCAAACGTGTAAAAATATTCGATAGAATTCCATCGCCAAGACAGAGAGCAGAGCGGCAAATCTCGAGGAATACACAAACTACCTTCTTCGAGATGTCTTCCGACGTCTAGTCTGCTCCGAGGAGGTACTCTATCTTCGCGTCTTCGTAGAGGACACCTATGAGAGCTGCGTAGGGCCGAACGACGCGAATCTCGATAGCTTCTCGATGATGAGGTGGATCGAAAAAGTTCACGAAGAGCTTAATCTTCAGCTGGACAATCTACCGCGCGAAATCGTCCGTGCTTGCGAGCGAGAAGGATTCCGGCAAGAGATGAGGGCTATCAAGGAGGCGGAAGACGCTGCAAGGAAGGTAGACAATTTATTAAATATCCGTCTTTTACTCGTAAAGGACGCGGCTATAAGTTTCTCAAATCTTTGGTCTTACACGTAATATTTCTTAAACAACTAAGTCTTTAGTTCCAAACTTATCGTCTTAAACAATCGAGTCATAAATTTAACATCTTAAACGATTATGTAAATGATTATGTCACATGGATTGTCTCACAATTATTTGGCACAACCAGTGTCTTAACTCGCAACTTGTACGATTGCTAGTTCGAGCTAATGCACCGGCTATTGGACGCGCTGAAGCGCATCATGGAGCCGCCTACGAGGAGGAAACGGCCTCTAATTCGACGATCGGCACCCATCACGACCAAGACGAGGCCACCGTCGCGCTTGCCAAAGCCAACGGACGAGGAAGCCCAATACCTCGCCTTCTTCACAGATTACTGCGAGCGCGACGACTTCGTCGCGTATCGTTCCAAGTTCCCGGACGACTTCGACCTGACATTCGAGAGCAAGCGCGAGATCGAGGTGGAAACGCTTAACGAAAATCGGGAGCAAACGCGAGAAAAGGAGAAAGAGGAGGAGGAAGAGACAGAGAGGAAGGAGGAGGAAAGAAAGTGAATGTACCGTCATTGAAAACGTAACGGAATCAGCACATTTATTTGAAAATTCCTCGTGCGTATATATCCGAAAGGATCGCATTCAGTCTAACGCGCTACGCACCGTCGGTTACTTAGCTAGCGCTATTAATAATATGTATACATAAATAGGCGATTTAACGATCGATTGAAGCACGAGATAAAATATTCAGAGATAATAAAAACACAACAAGGGGCAAGTACAGTGTACAATAGAATTTGGAACGACAGTCGATATAAAAACAACAACCATGCCTGACAGTTATCGCTTGGCTACAAAGCGCCAGTTCACGCATTCCTTCGTTATAAACCTCGTAAGAAGACTGCGATATACACTCCACCTTCGAGTACCACCTTCTTTTCCTTTACACGAGCAACTTTTTTTTATAAAATATTCTGCTAGAGATAACGTATGTACATACACACGCATACTATATATGTATGTGTGTATGTACATAGTATATCTCCTCTAGTAGAAACCAGTGATTTCACGTCAGATAGCGAATAAGTAAGTTATTGGTTCATTCTGAATCTTTTTATGCCTGTATGTCGAATATACACGTTACTGAAATGTACTTTAGCGTCCATAATTCTCGAGGATTTCTTAGTTTTAGAATACATGTATATACATGACAACAGCAATAACTTATTGGCGTTAAATAATCATGAATAAATAACAGAGGCAATTAGGAACTCGAAAGTTTTTTCATAAAACATGTAGCAACTTTTCAATGAGCAACGTAAATCTCATTAATCACAAGCGTACATTGGTTTCGGACTAATTCTATAAAGAATGAAATCGAATTAACAAAGCTGTATGAAATTTTGTAACAATTGTGCTCCTTTAACAATAAACCTTCTCCTTTACATTCGATATGCCTAATAAATGATAAGGTCTTTACAAGGTATAAAACCTCACGAAACAAGCAGTGTCCGATTACATGCGCGCGTAAATATTGCCGTGTTGCTTTGTATTTAAAAAAATATGGCAACAATTAACTCTTGCAGCAATGATAACATTCAATTTCGCTAAGTAATTTATGACGATTTATATTGCCACAGATTTTTCGACGTTGATCAATTTCGTTGCTCGTGTTAAAATGCATCTTCGCATTTAAAATTTGTGCCAGCGTGACATTACAACTCTCCCGATTTATGTACAATTATTTACTTACATTTACACCACTTTCTCCCATCGACTCGTTTCCTTTGTCGTAACGATAGATTTTCCCTCGGTCGACTAGCATCGTCACACGTTTATATTTACGATAATTTTAATCATTACGTTGTTGCATACAAAATAAACTCAATTTGGCATGAAACTAAATTTTCTGCATCGTTTTAAACTTGTAAATTTATTTATCAATTCTTGCCAATCAGTTGCAGATGACAAATCGGTCTTGTGACAAAAGACTTGTAAATATTTTTTTTACTTTTTGCACTGTAATAGCATCTCCTCTCGCGTCTCGTTTTACAATTAGCCATAAATCAAATAATCAAAACGATCACTGATATACGGATAGTATTCTGATTAACATATTTCGATTTAAAAAATTGCATACCTTTGGATAATCTTAAATTTTAGTTTAAAAAAATATTTGTATGCAACAACCTAATAGGAACAGTAGTCGTTAAAATTCCCCGTTTTTCACATGCTCTACACCGACATATACATATATGTACACGCATACACGCACACGTACACACAAACACACGCCTAAAAATCGACGCAAGCTCCAAGTGGGTCCAACAGCGTCTCGCTGAGAGCGAAAGTCAGAGGGAGGTGATCGCACCCTTCGATGATCACCGTCCACTTCAAGTCAATGCGCTACGTCCCCAGCGCAATTGGAAAGAGAGGACGAGGTGGAAGTTGTGGAAAGCATCGCCAAAGGAGAGGCCGTCCGCGAGCGACAATATCAGAAGACGCATGTGCAGTCTTCCGAGGCCCTGGCCTACCTGGCCCGTTTCCGATTCAGTTTCGCCAGCTTGCGTCGCTTCAAGATCAGCTGGTACAGCGTGTCCAGGCCTTCGTGAAGTCCTTCGCCCGTAATAGCACACGCCGGTTGGACACGAATACAAGAGCTACCAGGCATCCCGGCCAGTTCCAACACTCCCAGATGCTTCTCCAGCTCGCCGACTTCTTTCGCACCTACGTGATAGAGAGCTCGTCAACGAAACGAGATAAATTGTAATCAAAAGTTGAATGAGAGGTGCGTAAAACAAGGTATTCAAAATTTCGAAACTTCCACAGTCGATTATTTTAAAAGATCTAACGATGCTGTCGCGCATTTATTTGTTTTTAGGAAAATTTTTCGTGCCACCGTCTGCTTTATGTGTGGAATATCTTAAAGTCACGGAACATTCTTTTGACAATCTTGACGACATACTCTTCAGATATTTTATTCTCTTTTATGCGTGTACTTCGCGTCTTCTGCGTCACAAATTAATTTTTCCAACAAGAGATGCAATATTTAAAAAAAATGTACGTTTATTCACAGTTTTGCAATCTCTCGTAGCATGTGGTATAACTTTAGAAAGACGCGACGTTCGTGGCGACGCGGAAATGACTAACGCAATCGCGCAGGCTACGGTCATTTGGGCCAGCTGTTGCCGAACGTAATCGAGTTTACGTACAAGACCGAGTGTGCAAAGGAATGTGCGCGAGTCTGCTGCGTCACATTATGCAAAAAATCGACTGAGAAAAGAACGCGACGAACAAATGCGAGACTGCCCACAAAATTGAGAGATGTAATCAGAGAGCAAAAATGAGGTAAAGTATTTTTCGATTAACGCCCGGTCCAGACTTTGAGATTTGATTTATAAGTGTTGCAATATCAATTGTACCAGGCAAGTCTTGTTTGTTGGCGAGAATTAGGATCGGCACACCCGCATTGTCCGGACTCCTCGCCGTCCTCGTGAGCTCCATCTTCGCCTCTTCGAGCCGCTCGATGTCGCAGGAGTCAACGACGAAGATGATGCCGTCGGTGCATCTCGTGTACGATTTCCACAGCGGCCGTAGCTTCTCTTGCCCGCCGACGTCCCACACAAGGAAATTGACGCCTGCGTTCAAGAAAGGAAAATTCTGCGTTTTAATGAGGAAACAAACCGCGATGCAAACATAAAAAGTTTGTATCCGCGATCTGCGCGTTTACAGTGGAACTTTGTACGCTTAATCATTAAGCGACTTTTCCATTCTCGATAAGCACTTCTCGATCTCTGTTCAACCTCATAATAGTGACGTACGTGCGTGGAATTAGATGAGCAACGTTCGAATAAAAATTAGATAACGGAGAAGAGCGCAAGTGAGAGAAACCTAGTTTATGGACGTAAAAAGTGAAAAGGAGTAAAAAAAAGCGTAAAAATGCGACGATTTGACTGTCAAAGCTTGTAACTCAAGAGTTTTCGAAAGACGCTGGATGTCCTTTTCATTTCTTGGCTAACTTAAAGTCGATTTTTTTGTTCTCATCGAAAATATCGAGGAAGCGCGCGTTTATTGTAACTTTCTCATTTTTCACGTCACATTAAAATTCCATTGAGGCCAATTCTGTCTGAAATTAATCGAAGCAAATAGTTGCTCGATCTGACTCCTTCGAGCTTGGTTGGCGAAAAAGCTCGTTCTCTTCGATCACGTGTAACTCAAGAAACATCGACATCGCGATGGCTGAAAGGAAAATCGCAGGATCATCCAGGTCAGCCCGAGAGTCTGCCATTAAAAGGGCAAAGGCCCGGTTGGGACCATAGACATGTAAAAGATAGACTGCTTATGAGGCAGTGGAACCCTAGGTGGGGGCATCCTCCTGAGGGAAAAGGACAACATGAATTTATTTGGGTATCTGTCTTCTTCTAGTGGACGTGATCTGAAGGTGATCACGTACACTAGAAGAAGATAGATACCCAAATAAATTGGTGTTATCCTTTTCCCTCAGGAGGACATCCCCCACTACCTCATAAGCAGTCTATCTTTTATATGTCTATGGTTGGGACACATCGCGCATAAAGGAAATATACCTGGAAAAGGTAGAAAGGGACGTACCTTTAGCTTTCCCGATGCCGCCGCGAATTCGCTCGCAATTGAAGCCAATGGTCGGTACGGTGTTGAGATACTGATCGAATTTGAGTCTGTACAGGGCGGTCGTCTTGCCGGCACTGTCGAGACCGAGCATCGCCACGTGGAGAGGAGTTCCCGTGGGAAGTGCCTCGAGCAGACCGCCGGTCGTGCCGCTTCTGCCCATCCCAGCACCCATCCCTCTCACTCTCTCTTTCTCGCCCTCTCGCCACCCCTATCTCGCGCTCGCCTCCTCTCTTCCCGGTTGATCTTTCTCTCGCTCTTTCTCTCTTCTACTCCCCTCCGATCCGGCCTAGCATCTAGATTGCCCCTCCTTCCCCTCCGCTCTCCGCGTGAAATATATCTCTCTTCTCCAAATTCGAACCTTGCCGAGATGCCCGTAAAAGGACCCCGCCGCCGCGAAGCTGTCCACTACCGCATCGTCTGAAAAGCAAGCGCGTTCCACGGTTAACGCCTCTCAACCGGTTCCGCGCGAAACGCACAGGTGCGCGACCTAAAGTATCTCGTCTAATAAGTAGGACCCGATTTCGATCGGGGTCAATGTCGCTTTCGGTACTGGCCGTCGAACTACGCTCGAATTCCGCTTGTCTCTCCCGCGATCGCTTGATTTAGGAGCAAAAGCGCCCTATATGCAAGTATATGCGTGCGTGCGTGCGTGTGTGTGTGTGTGTGTGTGTGTGTGTGTGTGTGTGTGTGTGTGTGTGTGTGTGTGTGTGTGTGTGTGTGTGTGTGTGTGTGTGGGCGCGTGTGGGTCGTAGAAATCTCTTTCGAGAAAAACTTTCACCCTCCTTTTGTCAGACTTTCCAGCGCCGGTCGCGAATAACCGGTAATTCGCTTATTAGCGTATCTACCGCGCGGATCGGGCTCATTATTTATATCGTCCAAGTCGAAGGCAAATCCCCGAACAATGTATCATTGTCTCGCGCAAGGAAGAAGAAGTGGGCTGGCGGCGGCCGGCGAAAGAAAATAGAATCGGTCCTTTTCGGGACCGGTTCCTCCGACGAGGTTGAACGAGTCCGAATATTCCGGTTTGCTTGCTCCGTGGACCGTTTCTAGGTAAGATCTTCTTCCGTCTCGGTCGGCGAACTTTCTCTAACGCCTCCCATTTTCCTCCTTTTCGCGTACGCGCATTTCCTCCCGGCGATCTAGCGATCGCAACAGTTACACGCATCTTGCGTCGCCAGGTACCGCCGTTCTCCGTCTCCTCTTCCTCAAGTATACGCGCGGCCAGTGCAATCTCGTCGCAGGGAACGCAACGCAAAGTATTCCCTTTATCAATCCTAGACAATGCAGAATATTTTTAGCAATGTATAATCGATTAAAAATAACATATAAAAAGAGTTACGTAATGAAATCCATCCAAGTCTCGGCCCGCTCTGTACCGGGTATCCGCAACTACCAATCGACAACACCATTACGTTCTTCTATTCAGATACAAGAGGCTCAAGAGTTTTATTTCTACCTCATGACATACAGGGTGTACTAAAACCACCGGATATCCTTTTAATAACAGATTCTTTAGAAAATCTCAAGACAAAAATTCTAATACAGAAATGTCGAGGCTGCAATAGTTTTTAAACAATGAGCGCGTATATTTCACCAATGATAGGCCTGAGATTTCGCGCGCTCAGGCACGGCGACGTGACAAGTGACAAAAGTGTTCGTATGAACATCGCCCTTTTTAGCACAGTAACAACCTTCTTGGTAACCGATATTGATCGATCACTTTGACAGCTGCAACATTTTGAAGTTACGACACGTTGCAAATTTCTACTTGAATTTAATAAGAAGAGGCCTATCATTTGCGAAGTATACTCGCTTATTATTTAAAAACTATTGTAGCCTCGACATTTTTGTATTAGAATTTTTGTCTTGAAATTTTCTAAAGAATCTGTGATTGAAAGGATATCTGGTGGTTTTAGTACACCCTGTATAGCATGTCTCTAGCATATCGGGCATATCTAACAATAAGTTCTCGTGTTCAAGTCCGAATGTTTTACTTCCTTCGGATTTGACTACGCAAATAATTTTTTACATCTCGCAATAGTATGCTTGTCACAATATTTTTCGATTTAAACTTTAACTAATTTCCTTGGAAAACTCCATTTCATCTTGACGGCTCGACGTTTGTATCAGAGATAAGATTTCTACAACGTAACTTCTTGGACGTACGAGTTTAATAATTCTCTGTAAAATGTATTTCACTTGACTTTTCGATAATTCAATATTTACCAGAGGTGCGATTTCTTGAACGCACCCCGCTTTACTTATGCATATCCAACTGGACGTATAAAATCAAGGAATAATACATTTTGCTATGACGGATATTCTTCTGCATTATTCAACAACTGTTGCGATTTATATCTGGCCCGCGACACGCGATGACCCGTCCGCGCGCACGTGCAAAAGTAGGTAAATCAAATCGAATCCACTTTATGAGCGAAAGGAAGGACCGTCCGGAGAAATCCGACGTTTCGGGTCACCATCGCGCGAAAATGTGGACCAAAATTTAGCGAGGAACACATGCACGATGTAGATCCGATGGACCTTCGAGATCGGTTTACGGAACTCTCGGAAATGTTGTGGGGCGACGTGTTTCGAAGTCTTCGACTTGAATGTAAGCGACGACCCTGTTGAGCTTAGCAAAACGAAGTGTTCCCGAAGTGCGGTTGCTAATTCAATATCATGCCGATTACTACTACGTCCACGTCGTTGTTCCTCGGTAAAGCTAAAAGTAGTCTAAGAATGCATTGCAGGAGGATAGACGGTGTCACATGATAGCATTTTCAAAAATATCAAAAAATTTACTTTGATGTTCCTAATCTGATGTATATTTTTTTGAGCTATTACCATTTTTCAACAATTTT